CTATGGCCATGATTTTCTAATTCTGATTTTCCTTCTGAGTGTCTTCTGCCTGCAAGGACATCCTCATCCCCAAAATATCCTTTTTTTCCATGGGAAAAGGCTTTGTAGAAGCATCCAGCAGGGTCAGGCATCTCCATCCTCCACCCTGGGGTGAGTCCCTGGTTTTGGGGACACCCACCAGAGCACTGCCAGCAGTGGGGACACCCCGGCCTTACCCACAGCCTTGGGCTCAATGGGCTCAGCGGAGAGGAAGCGACTGGAAAAGGTGGATTTGGGGCTTTTCCCTGTGCTCTGGAGCAGCGCTGAGGTTCTGGATGGAGTGACCATGAGGAGACCCCTCTGCAGCCCCCCAAACCAGGGTGTCCCCCCAGCAGGGACCAGGCTGCAGATCTGTCACCACATTCCTCATCCCAGAGCTGCTGAGCCCAGCGGGGCTGCCAGGCACCCCTGGGCATCCCCAGAAAAAGGAAAATCCCTCCCAAAGAGGCTGCTGGGGCTCTGGGAGCAGCTCCAACCCCACTCAGGGGACCCTTCACTCGTCCCCCATCCCATCTGTGCTGTCTCCTCCGGAGCAGGGTCAGGGTTTCATGGCCATAACCCGGTGGGAARCGCCTCTGCTGCCCTCCCAGAGCAGCTTTCCAGGAGAAAGCCGTTCCTGGATGCACAAAAGGCAGGAGGGAGCCCCAAAAATGCCTGCAAGAACCTCCTGCGTCCCAGCAGGGCACCGGGAGCAGCTCCCCGCCGTGCCCAGCGTGGGTTTACCTCCACCCAGCGTGGGTTTACCTCCACCCCGGCGAGCTGGGACACTCCAAACCCAGGGGCAAGAGGAGCAAGGGATGCCCCGACCAGCAAAAAAACCACCCAGCAAAAAAACCACCCAGCAAAAAACCACCCAGCAAAGCCACAACCCCCGGGGACCCTCCGGCCACACCCAGGAGGTGGCACCCAGTGCAGGGACTCGTGAAATCCCTGCACTGGGTGCCACCTCCTGGGTGTGGCCGGAGACACCCAGGAGGTGGCACCCAGTGCAGGGACTCGTGAAATCCCCTTAAAAAACAAAACACAAAAACAAAGTAAGTATTTATTTCTATAAAGAGAAGAAGGAAAAAAAAAAAAATCAGATTTTAAAGGAAAATTATATACTCAGCATGTTTATACTCTCTATGCTTAAAGACTTTGGTGGGTCAGAGTGGTGGCCCAAGGCTGGGGGTGCCTGGTCCAGGTCTGGGGGTGCCTGGACCCACTCCTGGTTCTGTGGGGACAACGAGGATGAGGTGATGGGAACAGGGAGATGCTGAGGACTGTCCCAGTGGGTTGTAGGAGCGTTTTTAGGGTGTGACACTCCCAGCAGGATCCTCAGTTGCMTTCGGTGCTTTGGTGCAGCCCCAAGAGCAGAYGGAACCCTCCCCTCCCCTTGGGGCATTCCTGAAAATCCCAACTCAGCAAAGCCTCCTTTTTACAAAAAACCCTCTGATGACAGAGACCTCGAGCAGGGTCAAGGATTAAAGATGGAAAGTGGGGTTTGCTCCCTGTTTCACTTGGGTTTGAACRGATCCCTTSCCCATGGTGCWCCCCTYGCTGGGGATKAAGGCTCYCAGTGACAGCAGTGGTGGCAAGGAGAGCCCTCCTAGTGGCTCCTAATTGCCTGGCTTGTTAACGAACTCATTAATGGCTCTGAAATGTCAGATGGCTCCTGCTCCTGCTGTTTCCCTCCCATCCTGGGGGCACATCACTCCCAAGGCCCCATTCCTATGGGATTCTACAGCCACGGCCGTGGATTCACCGCTGTGCTCACAGAGCTTCATTTCCTGTGACAGAAATCCCCAATTCCTGGGAAAGCCTTCAAATCAATCACAATCTGAGCTTGTTGGGCTCAGAAGTGCCAGAATGGCTCTGCGATGACAATCCCCAGTAAAATCCACGGCTCTGGGATGAGGTTTGGGGTCACAGGGCTGGCAGAGGTTGGCAGGACAGTGTTCCAAGCCTGGCTCCTGCAGGACCAGCTCTGGAGAGTTTAATTACTTTTCTAACGAGTTTTCCCCAGGCTGACATTCCCAGCTTTTCCCTTTGCTTGGTCAGGGATTTCAAGGGGAACAACATCACCAAAGCCAGCTCGGGGGCCAAACCTATCCCAAATCCATGATTTTGTGTCYCCCTCGTGCTGGGTTTTCCATCACCCGAGCTCCATGAGGGCTCTGGGGACCTTTCTGCCTTATCCCTCTGCCTTTGGGGTCTGGGATGTTCAGAATTGAGGAAAATGGGAACCCCCAGGCTTCAGGATTCCAAACCAACCAGGATTTTAAACCTCTTTATCCAATTCCAAGTTTATCCAGTGTCCTGGTCCCTGCTGCCACGGCAGGGGCTTGTTTGGATCCTCCAAAAGAGCTGGGATTTAGGGAAAATAGAACAGAAAAACCCAGGAAAAGTGTTGGTAAAGGCTCCTGAAGTGGTTAACAAATGCTTCCCTTCAGCTTTTAGGGGAGGCTCCTGCTCAGGAGCTGGAGCATCACTTCAGGTTTATTTTGGGGTGAGAAACAGCAGGTTGGGGTGGAGCAAAAGCATCTGGGAATTGGTGCCAAATGAGGAAATGCTTTAAAAGGGAAAAAAAAATCCCAAGGAGCAGGGAGATTTTGGGAACCAGAGATTTTTGTTGTGACTGAAGCACCACAGGGTRTTGTGATGGACCTTCCCCATCCATGGGAGGCAAAATAAACCCCGGGGAGGGTGGGAGAGCAGCGAGGAGAGGAGGGAAAACTGCCCAAAAGCAAGAAAAAAAAAGGGATTTTCTACTGCAGCCTCGGGATGGAGCCCCGTGGAGGGGAACGAGGCAGGTTGGGGCCGGGGACAAGTGGGTGCAATGGCGTGGGGCAGTTTTTGGGAAGCCAAGGGTGATGCACAGTTGCTTCGAGATAATCAGAGGAGATAATCAGTGCAGAGAATAAATAGAGATATATAAATCCAGGGACTGGGAGCGTTCCCCAAAGCCCTGGACGATGGCAGCAGAGCCCGAGGGGCCCTGTACAGCGACCTCCCCTCCCCAAAAGTTCCCTCCCGTGGCCTCCCAAGTTATTTTTTTAACTCTATATAAATTTAGGTCTATTTTAGTCTTTCYGCAGCGATGTGCCAGTGTCTGGAGAACCAAACATCCCTTTTCCCCTCCCATCCCGTGGTCCYTTGATGCTAAAACGGGCTCTGGGTGCAGATCTGTCCTGGGAAGGGGAGAGCTGGAAATGGGGCAGGGGAGGCTCCGGGGTTGGGGTGGTGGGAGCAGGGTCCAGCTCCAGCCACCAGTCCGTGTTTTTAGCACTTTGGTTGGAACTCTCACCTGTAGACGCACTTTGATGTTGTTGCTTTGAAACTTTGGCAAGTGTAAACAATGTGTATTTAAAGAATTACAGAGAACAACCCCCAACGAAAGCGTGTGAAGAGCTATTTTATGGAATTCTGTGTTGAATAAAGACTCTGGAGATCGAGGTGGGTTTTCACTCTGCTGAGGGTCACACTCTACCCACACCAGTCAGACCAGTTGCTGTTTGGGATTTACTGGAAGCAGGTCCATGGGYTCCATTGGAATGGCACCACTGGGACAAAGTGGGACACAGGGGCAGAATGGGGGGAGTATTGAGGGTGGGGAGAGCCTGGCACAGGGTGCTCAGAGCAGTCCCCAGATCCCTGGCACTGTCCCTGGGATAGAGGAAAGTGTCCCTTCCAACCCAAACCATCCCATGATTCCATGACATTCYTTTCATTGTCCTCCTCTGACACTCCCAACCCACCAGATCCAACTCTCCCCATTCTCCCAGCACCATTTTCCAGCCAGAGTCCCTCCCAATGCTGGGATCCATCCCTGAAACCCTCTGGAACTGACAGCTGCAGCCCTGAAGGATGAAGCAAAATGGAAAATGTAAATGCCCCATTGAGCAAACGCCAATTAAAATGTCACTGAGCAATGCTGGAGAGCTCCAAGCACCCAGACACTGGAGCTGCATCATCCCTGGGATGTGCCTGGACTCTGTCCTGCCTCCCACACAGGAGGGAGGGAAATGGGCACAAATGCTTTGAAATGGGGCAAAAACCAGCCCGAAAGGTTCATTTTTTAACCCCAATCCCACCCTGGGACAGAGAGAGCGTCACATCCCACCCTGAGGGGACAGGGATCAGTTCCACATCCCACCCTGAGGGGACAGGGATCAGTTCCACATCCCACCCTGGGGACAGAGGGGACAGTGTGGCTGTGTGGAAGGAACACAGTGAAGAAAACAGTGAAGAACACAGTGAAGAACACAGTGAAGAAAACAGTGAAGAACACAATGAAGAACACAGTGAAGAACACAGTGAAGAACACAGTGAAGAACACAGTGAAGAACACAGGAAAGCTGGGTTTGCCACTGAGACAAACTCATTTTATTGTGGTGAAGTCTGGGTTCCAAGCCCAGCAGAACAAGAACAAAGCAGTATAAATAGGCCCCAAGGCTGTCCCTGTGCTGGAACACCAAGAGCAGCCCTGGAGCAGGAGCTGCCCCAACAAAGCCCAGCCGTGGCTGTGTGAGCCCGGTGCCTCCAGCAGCGCTAATTACCGCAGGAATTAACGAACATCCGCAGCTCAGTGGTTGTGGGGCCGGGCCCTGGCACGCCCACGGCCCCCGGGAGCAGGGTCCACGCTGGAGCGGGGGTTGCGGATGGTTTCATCCACGGACACGATCAGACACGCCGCCTCCGAGGCCGCTGTCAGGGCRTTGATCCGCACCACTGCCGGCTCCCAGACACACGCTGAGAAATTGTC